CGAAATTAGCGAATATACACTCATTTGCAAACTAATTTGGTTTTTCGAGAGACTAACCTGGAACCCATCTGAACTTCTCGTTTGTCATGTATATGCAGAACATACATATACACGGTCTTTTCAAGATCCAATCAGAATCGTGGGATGTTCCATAGTAAGAGAAGATAGTTGTGCAAGAACTTTCAACAAAGGGCTCTTCTTGAAGTTTAACAGTAAACAGACTGAGGGCACATTCAAAAAAGAAAAAAATTCTTGATCAGTGTGAGATGAAAAGGTTTATTGATAATCTAACATTTTACCGATTATTGGTTAACCTGCAAAAAAGTGATCTCTATTCAGAAAAACCACAAAGTGTCGACTTGATTTCCGTTACAATCTCAGTAGAACGTTGATGTCATCTAGACGCGTTAGACAACAAATCCGGCATTTCAGTGATGTGTCGCACTGCACTTGACAACATTGCCTCGTTACTTTCTAAGTAAAGTGTCTTTCCAATTTCACTTATTCCTATAAGCCACACAACATACTTGTTCAGTACGCCTAACAAACAGTGTCAGAACGTTCAGCTGCTCTTTAAGCTGTGTTTGTTTGACAGGAAATCCCAGTAAAATCTACTTTAATTTCTATTGTGTATAATGTTATCCAACTGAACTGATGTTTCAGTTGTTAGTTTCATTTGGACAGGCACTCAGCATAAAAGAACGGCTTTCATTATATGATTCCACTTCTTTTGAAAGTTCTCAAATAGGCCAATTACACAAACTTTGATCGAGCTCATTTTCTGCTTGAACACCAGACACTACGTGTTTCACGAAAAACATTTGTGTGCAGATTGATCTAATATTGACGGGGGACCGAGTAGAATCTTGCTTTCAATACTCACATGCTTACGAAAGAATAAGTGTGAGAAGCTCTCGTTTTGAGGTCTTAAAATACAAAACTGATTGTCGGTAGTTTTCAAGCGCAGCATCACGCCAAGTCTTTTCAGAAGGAATCCGCCCAGTTTCACAGTCCCACTGGCGACACTGTTTGTATTGTCGACGAGAAATTCGATTGGGTTGGAGCCCTTAATCGCGATCGCGAAGAGATCTTGTTGATCGGTTCTCCGTCTGAATTAAAACGCGGTTAAATCAATCGGCCTGACGATGTTTCTGTGGTAAAATGAAATGCAATACACCCATAGACCCACGCTTCTGAAACAACGATCAGATCTCCATTTCGGATGTACGCATCACTACCCAGATCAACCATGCTTGTGTCATGCTTGCCTCACGCGACACACTAAGATTGACAGATGTGTTCAGCGTTTAGCGTGTAGAGCAAAGCAATTACGTTTCGGTGATATCCTTGGACGGAAGTCCGGCACCGTCAGGAATTCTGCAGGATAGTAGCTACTTTCGCCGGTCTATATCATTCGGTCTGCCAGCAAAACAAGCAATGTTCAGTTTTTTCCGTGGTTTTGAGCTTACTCTTGGACTAGCAAACAAAGATGAAAACGGTGTGTGTTGACCCTGTTGATGGTGGACTATCGATAGGCTCTCTCGTGTAGATTGTACAACCCGGCACCTCGTCCAGTGGACTACAGAACATTGCTCGAAGTTGCCGACCCCCGAAACTACAATCCAATTGGAAAGCTTCGTTGTAACCCACTTAATAGGTACGGTCAAATCATTATTCGCGATACGATATTTTTGACCGCGTAAGTGATAGTGAAAAACCGGATCAAAACATTCAATTTACGTAATCCTGCGTCTCCTGAGGCTAACTCCATCAGAGTGCCCACAGACGAATGTTGTATACCAAGGAATTATTTTCATTCCGTCCAAATGATCTGACCCGATTTTCATTTTTCGTTGGCGGCAGAATCGAAAAGACTATTCATCTCGTGTAACCCAGACGATCAGCTGTGTCATTGCCTGTTGCTTGGAGTTTCCCCGCTTCAGTGACTAAAAGACGAATAATTGAAAACGTATACTTGTCCAGAGTTTCAGTTCTTGATTTTTGCGTGAAAAATCGTTCAGAATTCCGCTGCATCTTAGTCATATTGAAGAGGTGAGCGTCTAATTTGTCTTGAGGATCACAGAGATCCTGTTAGAATGCTAGAAAGTTTTGACTGTTCAGTGGTTAAGCGAAGCATAAACGGAGTCCGACTCAACTCGCCGGTTGATCTCCGTCGCATGGAGACTGAACCTTACCGTGGTGTGACGGGTTGTGTGTCTCCGTGACCCAATGGACTATGCTGGATGTGTCCGTGAGATACTTGCAGAATCTCTGAATGGTTACGGGTCTGAGGAACCCAATCTTCTGGACCTCGATGCTGGGGGGTTTTGAAGAATTATCGCCGTAACTGACGACTGGAATGGGAATAACTTGTGGCCAAAACAAGCAACAGTCATATTACCGCCAGACTTACTTGATGTAAAATGTTTTCTGTTATTCTTTTTGAGCGGCGTTTTGGAAAAAAACTCGCTAACTAGACATAACTAATCAGTACCCGAGAATGTGACGAGTTTCCGTCTTTATTTGAAGTGCAGATATGTTGAGCACCCTTTATGAGTCGTAATCATTTAAACTCTACAAACACTTTGCCTAGCATGAATAATCAGTGGGCAGTCTTGTGGACAAAATGTCACATTTTATTGAAATGGAAGGGTGCCATATTCAGTGTGTATAAACCCTCCCATCTAGGCAATTCAGATAAATTGCTTGACCGCTGTCATCATATCACATCAACCACGAGATTAGAGCAAGACGAAGGGCTCTATTGATGTTGAGAGGCTCCAAAGACATAGAAACCCTTTTCGAGAAACACACTCATTTCAAATCAATTTGGTTTTCACGAGAGACTCAACTGAATCTCTCGTTTATAATATTCTACAACTGAATGCCCTACACACAGGCCGCCACATGATTCAGTTGGCACGATATTAGAGATATCGCAGTATACTTTCATGAAGAAAACTGCTCACAAGGTCGTTGAAAACCCTTCGAAGAGTTTTCAGCAACTTTGTGAACAGTTTTCTTCATGACATAGTACCCTGTTTCTGTGCTAAGTTGGCCTCTTTCCGATACAAAAGACAACGTATATCATTGTTCTGGTTGCTGTCAAGATACTCATTATACGGCTTCACACCGTTTGTGAAAAACGAAATGGGGGAACAGTATTTGAACACGACAATGTCTCAGACTATAAGGCTTGGTTGATGGGACTGTTGTTCAGTGACAGTCTGTATTAAAGTTGCCGGCCCTTACACATCTGTCAGCATAAACTCACTGGAAAACGTATTCAGCGTTACAACTGGAGAATTTCGATAATTCATTGCAAAGTAAGGCAGCGCTCATGCATTGATTGTAAAGCTCTTTTTACATCTGACACTCAAAGCGACAAGATAGATGCTCCCAACCTCAACACACTTCCACACTGATGATGTAGCCTCGACTGTGATGAAACGTTTACATTCAACTTTTCCATCTCAGCGAACAAACCAAAGGCCAAAGTTACTACTCTTTGGATACGAATGATAAAGTACTTTACAGATGCCGAAAGTTACGTGTGCTTCTATCCAGCTTAGGTCGAACTAAAGCACGACTATTAGACAATTTCATATCCATGTATGTTGAACTGTCTAGGAATGCGTTGGTTATGTTTGATTTTGCGAATTACCCATGCCTTATATGGACACATGACGACAGGTGTAGCACGTACCTCTAGCCTGCTTAGCTTATCCTGGACTAATGAAACTGTTAATTCCTCTCAAGCCTTTCCTTGAAAAAAAACCAACAAGTGATAGAACAGGAAACATTTTACTCTTACCGGCTCATAATTCCTGACGTGAACCCACAGCGCAAGTGATATTTTCAGAAGGCATTTATTGAAAATATTCGACGTGTATACGTGTGGTTTTTTCAAATGACCACCTGCTATTTTCGGACTGCAGCAGTTCATACGCACTAATTTGTCTTAACACATCGGAGTAGTGAGATTTTATTTTGAACAGTTGCGTTGCTGTAAAGAATACTTAACAGCAACGCAACTATTCGAAGCTGAACGCTGTAAGCGGCGAGAAACTCGCAAAACCGTGGCTTACGCGGAGTTTGGGAATTCACTGACAGACTCACGCTAACCCGATTCCATCGGCTGGAAGATACTCGCATTTTCAAAGAGCCATAAATGGCCCTCAAAATTCACCAAATTTGGTTGACCTCTGTGAGATTCTCCGCTTCTCCGGCATATTCCCTTATATTCGAATATCAACTATTGACCACTCTTACGGGGCCGGATCGATAAGAGACCTTACTATACAAAACACTTTGCACAACATGAGGTTTCTGAATCTTCCGTCACTCTGTTCATTTTGCATCATCACGTGCTTGTTGAGTAACATTCGACACCCTCCACTGATCGATATCGTGCAATTTGAAATTCCATCATCACATCACATTTTTGGAGGAGAAAATTACCAGTCACCGTGCTAATCTGTCGACGAAATAAACTTCCCAGCGCCTATTTGTTTCCCGTAGTATTTACGTCTTTCCATGCTGCCAAATTTTTTTTTAAAATTACCAGACATGTAAGAGCACAATTACTGCGGCACACGTTTGACTTCCTGACAGTTTCCATATGCAAATATTCACTTATTAGAGTTCAGCGTCAGAATTCACCTTAGTTGAAAAGGTCACAAGGCACTTTCTAAGTGTCGAACAACAGATTGGAACTATTCTCGCCACTCGTATAACACAAAAAGTTGAGGAGAATTTGATCAGACATAATAGACCTAAAGGAAACTACTCACAAGTTTGCTGAAAACACTTCCACAGCCCACGACCGGTTTCGCCCTTCTTGAGGCCCATCAGTTCCGCAGTCCCCGAGTTTCCGTCAACCTTATGTTCTACTTGAACCCAAATTGGACTGTTTTTGAGAAATACACTCATTTGCAAATCAATTTGGTTTTCCAAGAGAGACTCAGCTGAATCTCTCGTTTATGCTATTCTACAACTGAATGTGCTGCACACAGGCCGCCACATGTTTCAGTTGGAACGATTTTCGTGATATCGCAGTTTATTTTCATAAAGGAAACTACTGAACACAAGGTTAACGGAAACTCGGTGACTGTGCCTACTTGATGTGCCCCAAGAAGGACGGAACCGTTCCTGGGCTGTCGAAGAGTTTTCAGAAACCTTGTGAGTAGTTTCCTTTAGGAAAATATAGTACGATATCTCGAATATCGTGCCAACTGAAACATGAGGCGGCCTGTGTGCAGCACATTCAGTCGTAGAATAGCATAAACGAGAGATTCAGTTGAGTCTGCCGTGAAAACCAAAGTGATGTGCAAATGAATTTATTTATCGTTAATAGACCTAACTTTACCTATTTTGATGGCTTACGGTTGTTCCGGCTACACAGGAAATTTCCGGTTTCACCCTCTCGACAGCTACAACCTCAACAGGTTATCTTTCTTGATTGTGTACGTGAAGCACAGTCCCGCATGCTGGCTACATAATGGCGCAACGATTCCTCTGCTCACGCGTGATGCACTTCGTGGTTGCCTGGATTGATTGTGCCTGATGTAAAGTGCAGATGCTTGGTTGGTTAAATTGTGGTTATTCTTAATCCAAGTTGCTTCCCCTGCTCGGTTAGCTGGAGAAGACAAATGGAATTACAAAACGGAAGTAGTGATATTTAGACTGATGTCTTTTGAATCTGTTTGGCCCTGGCTTATAGAGGTAATGCATTCAACAGATGTTTCGTGGTCCGGATTCTCCTTCGGTCGTTTTTTAAGGATGCGGTAACTGGATTGTAAAGATGATTTCCAGACAAACATGTTTTCTGCAAGGTCCTTTCAAGTTATTTAGTTGTGAAGGCTAAAACAGCAGTAGTAAATGCGATTTAGTGGGAGCTGTGAAAATGAAACGAGGATTCGAGTAAGTGACCGCCCTGGCTGCCTGGCAGAGAACAGGCAGGTCAAGTAATCAATATGACAACCTGAATTCAACTGTATGATTCCGAAATGGGAGTATTTTTCACGCTTTTCTCGTTGACTATTTCAGTAGCCAGGACAAAAAACGATTTTCGTTTATCCCGCACGCCCGAGCCTGTACTTCGCTTTTCAGTCTGTCTTACGTTTGACCACTCTGCTCTGAACATGAATCTGTGATGGGGGAAAAGGGGATCTGGTACGTGCCAGGTCAGAAAAATGGGGCAGTCGCAAGTGAATGTCATGGAGCAGAAGTGGTCACTTCTGGCAGACCGATCCTGTCTCGACTGGGACACAGGTAAACGTGACGGGTTTTAATGACCTACTTTTCGAAACCTCTTTGATAGCTATGAAAAGTAAGAAGTAACTTTGGACATTTTGATGTCAATTTACATGGCAGCCTATTGTGAATTTGTTTTCGCACACAGGTGAGGTTGACGATCATTCGGTCTTGAGTTACGAGCGAGTCTATCGGTCTAAGTAAAAAGATCCACCATTTTGTGGTGGCCTGTTTATGTGTGTTGATCTTAGTCTTACTATCACTGGCAGTTAGGGACCCAAGTGCTGAAGACGACTGACTTTCAACCCGGAATCTAAGAAAAGGACTATGAATGAGGACGACTTTGAGGCAACACCGGCGACAAACCTGTAATCGATGGCAATCAAAGCCATTAAACTTGTTGCCATGGAAAGTGGGTCCCGTTCCGCGCAAAATTCATACATGCAGTGAAGTTCAGTGAATTTAAAATGGACTCGGTCCTTCTAACAACTCATCCATACTAGAAACCTCATATAATCAGGATGAAACACGTGACAGGTGGTCATACCACACGAAAAGTGGCCTGACTATAGCTTTGCATCTAGCTCAGGTGTTCAGTAAACTCATTAGCTTTAGCTAAAACGCTTTGTTGTAGAACAGTAGTCATCGATACCCTGTACATCATATCTCATTTGCAATTGCAGTTTTAAAAAGCAACCCGTAAAAAGTAATAAACTGTTCGTTGCTTCTGAGCTTTAGAAGATAAATGAAGTGATGAACTCATTTCTGTTCATGTTACTTCTAATGGAGAGCGAATCTGTTCGGCAAGTCAGTACAAGATTTTCAGACAAACTGAGTGAAAAAAGGAACTGATGTTGATCACATTAAACCTCAAAGGATAGAACGCTCTCAACCGAAACTTAAGATTATCTGAGTGTTTCCGGAGCCGTAATATCATCACAGACAACGAACTCAATGTTGGCACTGATGCTTCACTGCAGTACAACCACAGTGATTGTCTTGTCAGATCCTTAAAGTGAAAATAAGAGAGAAGATTGCGTGTGGGACGAGGCTTGATCTTGGTTTGTCGCTAACACTATGAGGTGCCTACAACCTCAAGCGCTCAATCAGACAATGGGAAAGAGACTGATAGCACAAACGTCCCGATACCGATTAGCCGATATTTGGCGCAATTCTTCCAGCCAAGCGCAGGGGTTACTGACGGTTGGAGCGTGAATTTAATAACTCGAGGGTCCGTGGTTTGAACTTGACCTCTGAATCTTAACTAGGCATGGGCAACCTGGCAGTATCCCAGCCTTCGTGCTTCCTTTGGGTGGCATAGCAGTTGGCAGCTGAACAACCACCATCACCAAGCGCAGGAGTGTTTTCGGGGACTCTATCCACACCAAAACCACCTAAGCTCTTCGTAATCCCGTCCACATCCCTAGGTCAAGTCATACGCTGACCTACTCGCAGTGTTTATTGCACCGAAGGAGGCATGGAGGAAAACACTGGTCCCGATGGACGAAGTTTTGGCACACGTACCACGTGACTGAACAGCAATTGACCGAGCCACCGCAGTCGATGGTACTGAATGTTTTCTAGAACCAAAGTACCGGCTGCACCACCATTTAGTCGTTTTCTAATGATCTAAATAGCACAATCTGACGCGAGCAACACTTGCGAGGCATCGGTGCTCCAAAGACTGAAGATGCCCCCACATTGTCTGTCTGCAGAGAATATGTCTCTACCAACCAACCTTACCGGGTGTTGATCAGCTGACCAAAGATCTGTTTCCCCGAGCTTGGCAGTCGATGTTCACACATCTCGTTATCGTAAGAGGGAACATCATCAAGAAGCAGTTAGGTGGGTCAAACCAAGCTGGGCGAACAAATCAGCATCCAACCCGAGCTACTAATATTTCGATACATTACCAACATCTCTTACTGCAGCTTGGAACACGCTACTCGTAAAACCCAGTAATATGCCGTTTTTAAGCCACAGGCGACGCGAATCGACAAACGTGATTCAAGCCTTTGGGATTTTAGCACTAACTTCAACAGACACGGTTTTTTCTTGACTAACACAATTACTGCAGTATGTAAAATTCTCAACAACCCCCAGTGCTTCTATTTGATTCGTAAGAAGTACGTTCATAGCCCGCACGTTCGAAGGTGCGGTGTGGTTAATCGAGGACAAAAATAAAAAAGAAGTGAAAGAGCGGACATCCTTTGCGGACACCATTTTTTGTAGGAAATAGTCTTATGTAGCTTCTTGTACACTCGCAAACTCACAAGTACGCGATTCTGGTGTAGCTAGTTGCGTGAAGGCCATCGTTGTGTTGCGCTGTTTGTAGTTTCCGCAGCATCCTTTTGATTTCCTTGACCAGTTTTTGTGGTGTGGTCTAGCCTTCTCGATATAGTCTACCCTGATCAGAGTAGGTGTCATCCAGCAGGTGAAGGACAACAAATTCACAAAGCTCCGGATTAGGCAAGTCGGAAAAAAACAATCCATTTGGATCAGAACGCCCATTTCTACGGGAATAACTTAAGGACTGTATGGTTGAAAATACACAGCTAAAAAGGTCAAATGGCATTTTTCATCGTACATCTATTGACCATACTAATATTCAACCAGCAAGACGGGAGGTGAATATAGTTTTTACCCACCTCAATTCCCCATTCTGATTCACCAGTTTTTGGACAAGCTGGTTCTAACCTTACCTAACATGATTGGTGCCCTACAAAACTTTTGCGTCCCATCTTCCCATAGGGTTGCCGGGAACATGATTAATTTATCCCGTCTGGTTCATTCAAAAAGTGCACCGCTCTAATACAGAAAAAACTCAATAATCAGACCACCAAAATTCACAATCAGAACAAAAAATCACGGGCAAATAATGGTAGCCTATCTGTGGCAAATTAGAGAAATGGATTCTAAAATTTTCTGTTGGAAAAAGTTGAATTATATCAGGAATCAACAAGTGGATTTACCTGCCTAACACAAACTAAGGATTGTCTTTGCTAGTCAACAAGTGGAAGTTAATTTACTCTGTGAACTCGAACAAACTCAATTTACCGGCTTAGCGGCAATACTTTTGTTTGGCTCATATGTATGGAAGGCCGTGAGCAGTGTACTACTGGCAACGTGTTTTACTATGGTTACACCATAACCCTTTCGAAACCCATCTTTCATGGTGCAACACCTCCAATCGAAATTATTTCCGGTGACTTTTAGGCGTGCAATCACCCACCGACAAACAAGGCTAAAAGCCACCGAATCTGTCCTCCTAAAATAAAAAAATTGTGAATCAATCAGATCAGCCTTTTTCTAACGGCTTGACGTAAAATATGAACTTTAGTTTGGTAAGACATTGACATTCAGAGTAATTTTCCGATCTACTGACAGCTAGTTGGTGCAGCCTTAAAAAACACAGTTCATTGGTCCCCGGAAAGAATTGAGGATATCAATGACACAAAGTTGGTGGCCAGTTGTGGGCAAAAACTGAACTACAATTTTTGGCTTTGTTACAAATATATATATATATATATATGAATTTGTTCACTTTATTACGCATCCGAAGAGTTGCGGAGGACGCATTACCGCGAAACTGCTTGACGTGTTCAGTTTGCCGTAGCTGTCCAGACAGAAACCTGCCTATCTGGCAATTCTGACAGGTCCGTTGCAACCCAAAACCTGCCCATCAACTATTGTTTCTGTTTATTTGTTTCTTAATTTGGGCAGGTTAACCACATCGCTGTGAAAGTATTCTGGCCTAATCTATCTATAATATAGTAGAATACATGTCAGCTTAGTTGTCAGCTTAGTTGAAAATCTGTTTAATGCTCACTAAATGATCGTAACAAGTGGCTATCTGTAAGACCCCCTTTTGATGCCTAGCTGCGATACAACCCGAAAGAAGCACGAGGGTTGGGATACTGTTAGGGGCTGCCCAGGGAATCGAGCTATCGGAGTTGGGTTCGAACCATGATTTCCGCCTTAACCACTGAGCTGACACAAGCTCGTTGCTCATCAGGTCAGCATATTCCATCAATTTAATCGGTTTCACTTCTCACTTAGGCGGAGAGCTAGATGTATGTGTTTGGATCACAGTCTCCTTGATAACCTCTTATTACCGTGAACTCAGGTCTGGACAGCCGATTGATAGCCTAGTGCGCTTGGCCAAACCACAAAAAAATCAATAAACGTGTGGACCGGCTGATCTATTGATCACTGTCGCGTACAAGCGGGTTAAAAAAGTGACTAGAACTCGTCTGTCAAGGACGAGTGAAGAACAACCAATGAAATCTGTCTCAACGAAGACGATTATTTCATTGGTTGTTACATAGTTCCGTTGCGTTCGGAGCTGGTTCTCCTAATGGTATGTGAAAAAACCATCCCTTTGCAAGCGGCATTAAGGTTGACACGTGACTCCAGATAATCTTTGATCCTCTTATTCAACGCAGTAAACAGACGTCATAGAAGACAGCTTCACTTATAATAAATCCATCTCAGCTTATAACTGACTGTTTATTTGCTTTGGTCTGCCTCAAAAAACGACTGAAGTGTACGGTGGATGCAGTCACACATGACGTGCTTTTTTTCATTTCTGATTCAAGTTCAATAACCGCTTTCAGGGAGAAGTCACGCTCATTTGCTTGATTAATTTACGGTTGTCTTTTGTTAGCATTATTTGGATAGAAAAAGGTAAAAATTTTGATAGGACGATCGGCCGTTTTCTACGGAATCGACAAATAAACTTTTTCACGAAGCTGTGGCCTACCAACTGCTCCAAGATGTTTAGACTGAGTATCATTTGTAGTCCTCGGATTTGTTGAAGGATGCTTGAGCAATATTGTTGCACCGTATTCTACTTCGGTGAGTACTGTACTAGTGACACCGATAGGTCGGTTATGAAGAAATCCATCAATAATTCTGGTATTATTTGCACTACTGATCACTGAATGTAAGGAATTCTCGGTGTCCGGATTCCTTTATGTAATTTATATCGTAGGAAAGGGGTTTGAAAAAATGTGTTTCTCATGTGCTTAATTGTGAGAAATCAGATTGAAAAAAACTGACAGGGGGTTGCTCACAGAAAACGGCATTAGAGAAAAATATCAAATCTCTCAACTCTAATAGATGTGCAGCATAGTCTGAAGGATCACTAAAATGTTTTGAGTAACAAAAATGTCTGCTGAAACCTCATAATCATAGTTGAAAGATTGGTCTTACAGAACTATCCGTTACTAGATCTCCAAGAACTCTGGTGATTCTGATTCAAAATTCCTGGACGGTCCCCCGAAAAAGTGCAAAACGATAGCCTCAGCACAAATAAAAGTTACGACTGTTAGTAACGAAACAGAACCATAAGAGTTACGGGTGTAGAAAGTGCATAACAAGGATACGAGATAGATGGACGTGCGATGGCACTTAGAAACTAGTGACCAAATACGATCTTGTTTGGTTTTCGTGCTTCGAGGCGTGTGAGATGAGGTCATCTCTTGGGTGGTTGTCCGATGAAGGGAATAAGCTCATGAAACAAGACCCAGTAGTTGGATGTTACCGGTTGTTTTTGATTGCAGTTGAAGCGAGCGTAAGCCGCAGTCGTCTGAGGGTAGACAAAAAAGTTATGCATTTAAACAAACGTCTACCAGATGTCAGATATCTGGCTAGATTTTCCGCTGACGTTGACATGCATGCAGAATTTACAAACGGAAAAAAGAGGAATATGCTAGTAATGTATTGGACAATAGAAAAGCAACTTTGATTTGGCTCGCCTGGTGAGATGAAGTATACTGTTTCCCGGCTGCTTAAACAAGGTGGAAATCACCATCTTGCATATGTATTTACATTTATAATATAAAAATGACTGAATTGATTGGGCAGTACAAATGATGCACGTTTGAAGCCAAACTGACGACATTTTCTGCCAAGCAATCTACCAAAGAAGCTGAGGCTTTTCATAGAGGAAACTACTCGCAAGATTCCTGAAAACTCTTCGACAGCCCACGACCGGTTTCGCCCTTCCACTTCGGGCTCATCAGGTTGGCTAAGTCCCCGATTTTCCGTACTACTTAAACCCAAATTGGACTGTTTTCGAGAAATACACACATTTGCTAATCAATTTGGTTTTCACGACAGACTCAACTGTCGAAGGGTTTTCAGCAACCTTGTGAGTAGTTTCCTTTAGGAAAATATACTGCGATATCTCGAATATCATGCCAACTGAAACATGAGGCGGGCTGTGTGCAGCACATTCAATTGTAGAACATCATAAACGAGAGATTCATTTGAGTCTCTCGTGAGAACCAAATTGATTTGAAAATGAGTGTTTCTCGAAAAGCTGAGACTCGTTTTATTATTTCATCAGGTCCGCAATAAAATAACAATTTTAGCGTGACTAGAAAACGACTGCGTCTCAGTTCAGACATTACGACTGCGGGTATGCTAACTGTTTGGGGGTACAGCCAATGGTCCTGACATGAAGTGCCACCGAAACGTTCTCGAGCAATGAGTGATTGTGTTTTTTGTTCCTTCCCACTCGAATCAGAAAACAAAAAAGAACGTCGACAATTCACCTTAGAATCACTACCTACGGGTTTCGTCTTCTGAATGCATGTGACAACTGTATTCAGCAAGAACTATTGCCAAGGTAGTTCACCATCGGGCGTTTTCCACCGTACCCGATATTGCGAGCCCATACGTAGATCACACTGCCAAAGTTTGCACCCATGCTATACCCAATTCTATAGATAAGGGCAGGGATCATCCATACCGCTGAAATTAATGTTGGGGGTTCCTTTTGTATGCCAGTTGTAGACTTGTTCACTCAGCTCAGCGGCTGGATTAGAAACGCCTCTCGTCCTTACGGTGTTGATGACTTGATGGACGGGTTTGCATATCATCTGTGAGATTGTACCACCCACCCGAAATGACCTTGTTCTAGTGTGTATCACCTTCAACTTGTCTACGTACGTGTCAGCTGATTGGTCGGCATTTGTGCGGCTTACCATCTACGGATCTAACCTCGGGTTTCTTCCAATTGTGCACACAGACCAGCATGCACCTCTGTCCATTGATTTATTGACTTCTGGTCGAGTATTCTTTGTCGAAACTGGTCCCGGCCAAGTTTGATATGTCGGCTGACTAGATCTGTCAGTGAGTGTTATGATTCAATGGGCCCGCTTATAGGCAGTGTGCTTGTGCTTGCTAAGATAACCATACTGCTGGACGAGATGTTATCTGGGCTTCTCCAACTTTCAAGCCACCATCATAAATTTCTCGGTGATGAAGAAGTAACTGTTGCCGGTTCCCTTTACACGATGTCATGTTTGGGCTGAATGGTTGCTTGCAAAAAGCGTCGACACGTTTTATCGTCCTTCTTGATTCTCAGGGCTTAAATTGGAGCCAAAAATATACGAACACATCCAACTTCGACAGAGGGTCTATGCCCCCCCAACTATGTGCAGCGGTTCAGTGGTCGAATCCCCGCCAACTCGGATTCTGACTCCAGCCATCCATTTTAGGTCTTGAATGATAGAAATACATTTTANACAGGTGGGTTCAGTGGTCGAATCCCCGCCAACTCGGATTCTGACTCCAGCCATCCATTTTAGGTCTTGAATGATAGAAAATACATTTTAGCGGCTCGTTCACGATGCAACTGTACGTGAAGCATGTAAAAAAACCTCTGAAGATCTGATAGCCTTGAACCCACCTGTCCACAGTGAGTGAACTCACCTTGTAAGCGCGCGTAATACCGACTGAACTGTCCCGAAAAATTCGGGAAAATGTGTCTACCTGGTGCATTTCAGCAGTGATTTTCCGAAGCAAAATTCATGCTGAAAGTAAAATCAACCATACAAATAGGTATAATAAATCCCGCGAGTGTGATCCACATTCCAAGTTACTCCAGGATTAACGCTCATGGAAGTGTGTATCTCTTTTAACAGACTGTAGCGTTTCTACATAGAAACCACATCCCATTAGCGTCCACCCAACTGAGCTTCAAGAGGTGACAACGTGCTCTTGGAAGACGCGAAAACATGGAAACGAAAGTTCACCTGTGCTGACATTCGGTAAACTACGACTGCACATTCTTGGACTTTTCAACAGTCGAAATTGTAATGAAAAAGTGTCGGTAGGGCGACAAAACGGACCAGTTGAGTCGTGTATGCCCCCAGCAGGTCACGCAAGTTCCGCTCTATTCGACTGCATCCGACTGTTGTTTATCTGTCAAACAGATTTAGATGTTGACAGGTTAGTTCCTGTTGGTCCGTCGAGACCACACGTTTTGAGTAGTGCCAACGTTCAGAGACAATAATCCAAAAGGGACTGTGTTTCGTGGGACAGGTAAAATCAGCTTGTACTGGTAGATGAAATGTATGCTTCCAATAAAAGCACGCACAATTAGCTTTGAGGAAACGGTTTTAACGTGGAATGAAGCTAGTATATTGTAAATGCTTGTGTAGCTGGGTCGTAGATACATGATCAGTCATGACATTTAATAGGTGGGGTATTGTACATGCCAACTGAATGTCGCTGAATCGTTGCTATTGTGAGAGAGCTCAACGGAGATTTCGTCCTGTCAGTGAAGACAGTCAGTGCTGAACAGCTGAAAGGCTCTCTTATTTCTACTGGGAATGATTGGTAGTGCATGTCTCACAAATTCCGGAGAGTTTCAAACCCTCGGACCTCTGGTAGGTGGTTGAACACTAAATTTTTGTGGCCGTGAGTGGTTGATTAGTAATGTGACCAGCTCTCACTTAGACATGACATAGTATCACCCTCCTTCAAGTCACGGAATCCATAGCATGTTGTCATTTCTTAGCTGTCTAGTTATGAGACGGCTTGATATCCTTTCCAGCTATGCTTTCAGTTTGTTCTGTGCAATGGCAACCACCGGTTGCAGCCAACCATGGGTTTGGGTCTTTACGGTTTCGTATAGGGTGATCGAGACACGTTTGAATGCACAAAGTAGAAAAATGTTTGGTGATAATTGCATAAAGTGAAAATACGTTTTTTTGCTAACCACATTGGCTACGCCCAAATGTGTTCTTGTAATTCAGACTAATGAAGATGCCTTGTATACTGCGTTTTGATCAGATTTATCTCACTGACACAAGAGAGCCATTTGAGTTCCACAGTAACCAAATCAACCACAGTGATGTTTCGATGGAATCCAGAGCAGATTCCTGCAATGTCTGGTTAACGCCTTTTGCGCAGACATTTTTCGAAAAACCGAGTGAGCTGTTGTGGGTGAGCCAACGGACAGAATGTAAACCCGAAAAAATCTCAGACCAAACGTTATTCTCAGTTTTATGAGCCATACCGCAAAAAGAAACACTGTAGTCGTCCATCAGTTTGTGGGCGAAATCTCGCATTAGTATATATCAACTGCCGTTTGATATGACGGATGCAATACACAAAGAAAGCGTCACAAACTTGGCTGATTGCGTTGGAGGGATAGCAGCTTCTTTTTGCGGCCTAGAACAAAAGTAACTTTTTCCTGCCCACCAGCTCATCATGGCCGATCGACTAAGCATGGTAATGCCAGCATCACCCAGGTAAACTAAGATTTCCCAACATAGTTGTACCAATGGAATCTAATTCATCAAGAGGAAAACCGGATTCAAAACCTGCTGCTCTCGCTGCATGCCATTTTGTCTTCAAAACCCGAATTAATCCTCTGCAATTTCTTTAAAGGCCTATCGAAACTGTATGTTTGTTGTCCCTTGGTATGACACACTATTCTTCAAAAGTTGAGTTGAAAGTTGTTTGAGACCACTGTTGAACTCCATGCACTTCAGACGAACTAGGAACCACAGCTGTCTCTAATGCAAGATCTTACTGATTTCGTGTATTTATGTCTTCAGGAATACTTGAGATTTAGAAGTCTGTTCTAATCAGTCACTATGCATAACTCTCCCCATACATTGTAGACGCAAACGATCAACGAGTTAAAAGTGGAGCAAATACAGAACATGCACCCCACCGCGGTGGCGAATTGCGAGCAAAGCATTGGCAAAACAAAAATATGTTGTATACGTATGCTTCACTCCCAATGTAATGTGAGCCATGTGAACTGCTAACCGCCGGGCACGTGACCCAACCTAGGACGAAGTGGTAGAAATCTGAGTATCACATTATCTTAAAGTCATTCGTTTTCATGAGTGGTACATTCTGTATCCTCCAAAAGGCGATCAACAATAAGTAGGCGTTTTAAGTGTACCATTTTAAAGAAACCTTAATGCCTTTCGTCCTATCTACTATTCAAACAATGTATTTTTGTAAAAAAAATTAAGCAATGAACCAAATCGCCCGTTAAGAACTATGGTATGACTTCGAATCGTACGTCATTCATTTGGCCGGGAAACACTTTAGAGTGTATATGTGCGTGACCTTAATATTCGCTCACTAATTGGCTGCTTCACGCGTCCAATCACTGGTGAGACCTCCTCGTCTATAAAACTGAATCCCTGTGAATTTGGATACCAGACGTTGTAACCATGTTTAGAGGATTACATGTCACCTGGTTTGTGTTAACCCTACTAACTTTTGTCAGCACCGCACAACGCGTTCAAGTAATTTACGAGGGTCAGAACGTTGCATTGTTTTGTAACGCGACCGGGATAACTAGTCATGTGCCAGTTCACTATCAATGGGAGTTTGACAATCAAGTGTTCATTGCCTCAGACGATCGGTTTTCAATCCGGAACATTCAGAAGAAAGATGAAGGGGAGTATAAGTGTACAGCCACACAGATAATCAATGGCGAACCGGTTGTTGGCGTTGAATCGACCTTCATCAGTGTCAGAAAAGGTAAACTCTTGATATAAAATTCGTTGATGTTTTTTAAGTGAAGGCGACAAAACAACTTGTTTTAGTTTCAGGTGTAGATTTAACCAAAATATACCTTGTTTTTTTTATTTTCTGAGGTAAAGGTTACCTTCCGGCGATGTATCACATTTTAAACCGTTAACTGCTTTAACTTTTCCACGCGTGGACTAAACAAGGTGCTGGATTCCCGGAAAATCTTCCAGAAAACGTTTTACGTTTGACGGAAATGTTACTGACCTAGATATCTAGAATAGCCGGCAGCATGTATGACATAAGATTTTAACTGTTTTGCGTTTAAAAGACGGCTGACATACAATCTTGAGAAATAAAGGT